AATAAACACAGTATATATTTAATCTTTTTCATAATACTTTTAATTTCACTATTGTAATAAATAATACTTAAAGGTCTACATCATCTCCAAAAAATGCTTTCCAACACTCTGTCAATGTCTTTTCAGCAGCATCTTTTCTTTCTTCGTCAGGCATTGCAGAAATTTGTTCTTTTAACTTTCTTACTTTGTCAATAGTCTTGAAAAAATTAAAATCTCCTTCAAACATCTCAGCTAAAGTATAGTGGAAATTTATAGTTAATCAATTTTTATATTATATTGATTATTATAGTTACTAAATAAGTCGCTATCCAACTCAGATTCTGGTTCTGTGTCCATTTTTAAATCTGATAATCCTCCGCTTAATTGTGAATTTATTACGCTATCTTMAATTATTGACTTTGTACTAGGATTTGTTATTTGACCTTAACGTAATAAAATACACAAATAATAATTCAATAAGTGAATCAGAACAAATGTACTTTACCACGCCCCTCACGAACTTCGAAATGTTTTTTTTTTTAAAGATGTTTTTCAACACTGATTTCGAAATTGTTTGAATTTTTGTGCGGATACCATTATTTTGGAAGTTATAGCCTACCAAAGTTTACGATTTTACCTTAATACAGTGCGCTCAATTTTAATTGGACTACGTTCTATATTTATATCAATATCGCTAYTTTATAACTATCTCATTATTACTAAATTGTTAATTAAATTATCTTTATGATAAATATATAAGCTCTATTAAGTTATTTYGCAATTATCAACAAGTAGACAGGCTAATGAGTATATTGTACCTTGTCAGTTAAAGTAATATAAGTATATAGTGGCTCTCTTCGCCTGCCAGCTCCGGTCCCAGACCTCGAGTTAGATGGGGGGTCGGTCCCCAAACCCCCCAGAACTTAAATAGCTAACCTGGAGGGGGTCGCGGGGGGAGGTACCTGCCCTACGGGCAGACAAATGGCCTAACAAGTGAACTGAACCTTGTTAGTTAAAGTAACACACAAGTGGCTCCGGTCTTCAAACTAAAGGAACCTTTCTTCGTCTACTGGCTACAGTCRCCAAACCTCGAGTTACTCTGCGCGGCAGTAAATTATAGTGTGGCGAGCTTGCGTATGAACGTAAAATCACAAACTATGGAGGGCTATAACTTCCAAAATAATGGTTTCCGCAAACAAATTCAAAAAATTCCCATATAAGTATAAAAAAAAACAATCCTAAAAAAAATTTTTTTTGAAATTTGTGAAGGGCGTGGTAAAGTACATTTACCAGTGAATCTAAAGTTATATACATTTAGCTTTAAGATTTGGCCAATGATGAGCATATAGGGCTTGTTTAACACGTTCAATTCCAGTTGTATCCATTTCATCTGCAATTTCTTCCAGCACAATCAATTCAAAATGGTTTTTTCGACACCATTCAAATACTTTAATAAACAAAATAAATAATTATGAAAAATATAAGAWTTCTCTTTTTTTTTTATTATGATAAAATAAATTTTTACTGTTTGTAGYAGTGAACATCTGACCATCAATGTTTTTTTCACTCAATAGTATCAGAACCTCAGCTTGACTTCTCTCAACTAAAGGTAAGCATTTATTCATAGCTTCAATAATATTGCTCTAGGACAGACAAACACTTTAAATATTATTTATCACAGTTTATTATAATCAAATATTTACTTTATCAATGCTGAAAAGAATTATTATAGCATTAATGTTGTGTACAAATTGATCAGATAGTTCATTTAAACTCGTGGATGTACACAAATTTATATCAGCAGTATAATATTTACAGTCGATTGTCCAACGATTTGATAAAATATTTCCTTCATTGTTACAAATTTCAATATTTTCTTCATTTTTCAATACTGTAAAAATCGTAATACATGATTAAGTACTATTTACATAAAACTAATAAAATACAAAATTGATTAATTATTAATAAATATGTTGCACATAATAATTTATGCTATAGTACGTCACGTATATATATATATATTATATATATTATATATCACGCATAAATAAAATATGTAAAAAAAGGCAAGTTTATTTAATTTTTTTCTATTCTTACACTCTTTCACATGGTCATGAAGGATTAAAGATATTGTTTAACTTATGTAGCCACATCACTAAAATATAATTATAACAAATAAGTTGATTTTAGATATAACATAGATTGGCTTTAGTTATGAAATAACCAAAGTTTACCGATCTATAAGGCATTTACGAGGGATCTGCTCGTTTAAAGTTTCAATGAAATATTTTACATGTATAAGCATTATGCAAAGTAGGCATTTGCAATGTCAACATTTTGAATGTGAGAGGCACTGAGTCAGCTAGCTATAAACCTACTTATGCATATATTTTAAAATAACATAGTACATCAAAAATAATTTTTGTGTATAAGGTAGTGTTTGATATATAATTTGAATGTCCTTTATTACTTAATTATAATGAGTACAAATTTAGGCTTACATTTAATTGTTTTCAATGGATCATCATCACAACAACTATATATGTAAACACAAGGGAGTTCACTTGTTGACATGATTATAAACTGTTAGTTATTTGAAAGAAAAATTCAACATCAATGAATTATTAAATAATGAATGATTTGATATTTTTAATGTGGAAAGAATTTGTTTCAAATTTGAATACTTTAATTACATAAATAAATAAGATTTAACAACTTTCGATAAATTTCACGTAATATCGCACCTGTCGAAGGCGCATAGTTAGTAGGTACTTAGTAGTAGTTACTTTGCAATCTGGCCATAGACAGTCATTGATTTAATGTTTAACAACTAATAAGAATTTGATGAGATTATGTCATAAACATAACTATAAATCAATATTATTTTATTGTGATAAAAATCTGAAGATTATCAGCTGATGTGAAAATATTAGATTATCACGAATTACTTTGTAGATAGTAAGTTGTATACCTCGACGTAGTATCACAGGCACAGAACAATGATAACATAATTATAGTAGTAGCATTGTTCTGTGGAAGTAGTACATCATCGATCTATAAAATATTTTGGTTTATCATCTATGTATTCAGTAGTACTCATAATTTYTTTTCAATGATATATTTAGTATACTATAGCAGGCTATTCCCGACATTCCCGTATAAATTATCAATACTCTGTAGTTACTAGTTAGTAGTTATATTTGAGATACTAAAACTAGTGAAATCAGAACAATATGAATTTTTTTTTCATGGTTTTATCAACATTCAAGTATTAAACATAACCAATTTAGTTTACACAATTGACATTTAATAGCTTAGTACTAAACTACTAACTCTACTAACTATACCAAGTACAACTAAAAAGTACACTACGGTTGAACGGTACTCAAGGTTTTTGGTGTTTGCAACTAGTTGGTCATAGTCAATAACCAAGATTATTTTTGTACTGTTTAATTTTGAATCAACCTATTGAAAGATTTGATAATTATTTTAATCTATCATTATTTCGTTGTATTTGAAATAAATTATCTTATTTAATTTTCAATTAAAATGAATCCTTGTGTAATTCCTGAGGTTCCCATTGATATACAAGGAGACAACCGATGGATGAGCCAGGTATATAATTTGTAATTTAAATATTTAKTAATACTTATACCAATTGACATATTTATTAGCATGAACGTCATGTATCCGAAGCAAAAGAACGTGAACCTGATGTTATAATGATTGGAGACTCAATTATACAAAAGTTACAGACATGTCCTATATGGAATGATTTATTTGAAC